ATATAGTTTGACCGTTCAGAAGGGCTTCAAATGTACTGAGTTGTGCTTCCAGAGCTATTTTTAATCTTTACAGCTTGTATTCAAAAAACTAAATGAGTCTTTTTCTAATTTCACTTTTGAAAAAACTCTTGCATTTATGTCATCAGCTTCTCACCTTTGACAGTTGAGGCCGATTCAGTCTCTGTGGGAGTTTATTTCATCTCCAGGGTCCTTGAAGCTGCTCCTCACAAAAGCAATGGTCGAACCATAGACTGTATATATTAACGGACAGAGTCACGCCTACCTCCGCCGTTCTAACCAATAAGCCAATATATGTGCTCTACTGGAGCAATCCAAAATGGGCGCGAGTGGTCCCGCCCACAAGAAAATTATGAAAAAACGGATCTGCGCATGCGTCAGCCGGCGCAACTCCATTCATTTGAACGAGAGACTTCAAAAATCCACCCCCCTCAGCATTGACACACATGTGGAACGGAGCTTTGGGCCAAGAGCCAACTTTTGGTCCATCCTGTAAAGATGTTTTCGAGAGGTCTGCCAATGCTATATGTTAGCATTGGCTAATTCTTCTTCAGGGTCCACCCCCATCGGCCCGAGGTGGTATTGCAGCATGTCAGCGCATGTCATTTTGGCCACTTTTGAGCTGGGACCTTCCCCCACTGGGTCGAACACACGCTCACAAACACACACACACACACACAGAACTCCACTCAACTCTGTTTGAACTGCTCTTTCCAACATTACAATGACTGTTGCCTGGTTTGTGACATTAACCCTTGTGCTCCCGGGTCAAAATGACTCCATACACAGTGGTGATAAACTGCTACTACAGCCAAGTCAATCAGGCAGCAGGTGTTCTCAGAGGTCTCCCATCACAGTACTGACCAGGCCCTGCACTGATTAGCCAGCCCATGAAGAGGGACCATTTATCGCAGGGCATCGAGAAATCACGTAAACCAACACTTTGTAAGTCAATATTCTTGTTGTATGTCGCTCCACATGGATGAAAAACCTCCATAGTCCATTATTATGCAACTTCAAAATATTTTAAAAGTACGACGTTTGTTTTGCCTCAGTCCTGTCGTTGAGAAAACCCAACACGGGTGTAAACAAACCTCCAACCTTTCTCACTGTCGTCCCCGGGTCGACAGGCCATTTCAGCACATGTCAAAAAACATGGGACTGCAGGGGGGAAAATCCTAAAGAGAAAAGTTGGCCCTGGATTTTGCGTCAAAGAAATGTAATTATTTCTTGACCTAGATTACAAAACCGGGTCTTGGCGTCTCTCTCCATCAGCGACACACACACACACACACACACACACACACACACACACACACACACACACACACACACACACACACACACACACACACACACACGCCTTCACTGATAAGTCCTACATTCTGTGAGATCAGGGCCGCGACCTCTGCCACAACATCGCTCATCTCCATTTTCCGTCCTTGTCGCTTGCTCAGTTTTTTCCAGATACAAATGAATGCGGCCCCTGCGATTCCCTCGGAGCAGATACGACGGCTTTAGCGGCGGTTCACTCCCTCTTTCTCTGATAAAGTTCTCAGCGGATAATAATAAAAATGTGTTTTGTATAATCTCTCCCACTGTCCTCTGAATGTGTCCTGGGGCGGCGGAACGTTCAAGGATCTCAATCATCAGAAAGGCGGTGAAATGAAATGACTTTTTTTCTGTTTCGCACTTTGCAAAACCGGCTGCACCTGGTCACGTGTGTGCATTTCGCTCCTATTCACCTGGAAATGGTTTAATCTTTGTGCCGATGGTTTTGTCTTGGTCTTAAATTGACAAGGTTACAAATGGGAGAGAAGGTTTAAGCAATTTTCTTAGGCTAATAGTTCATCTAACATGTTTAAAGTTCATTTTTCCTTTCATTGAATGTCCTTGACTGAGAACCAGAGAGTTAAGTTTTCAAAATGTTACAATAAAATGATGGGACTTAATCAAATCCACTCCATTTATACAGCAATTTTTTTTTTTTTTTTAAATTGCGTGTTGTGTGAGAGATCTAAAGGTTGTGATTATTTATGAGATGGTGTCAGAATGTGCAAAATAGGTTCATTTTACTCAGTCTCATACCCTCAGAAGCTAACATGTACAGATATATACATACTACTATATATTTCTTGCACAACTATAATTCTTGCACTAGAATATACAATGTGTATTACTTCCTTCTTTATTAAGCTAAAGTTAGAGATGTTATACTTAAAGGAGAAGTATGTACAAATCTGTCCAAAAGTGGTACTGCAGCCTCTCCCACTCTCCCTAACTCAGGTTGCCAGATATGCAGACGAATCCAGCCGGGAAATGGATCTATAATAATAACTGGATAGGGTATTACTAGCTTAAAGCTGTCCCACCCATGGGCACAGGGGGCGCCCGTGGAACTGCAGACTAAAATCACGAGGGCAACCCAGAAAAAATGTAAACTATAACAGCTCAACCTCAGCTGACAGAGAACCTACAGCTTTGATAAAGGTCGTATTTTGTGGGGATTTTAGTGTCGCTTGTCATCCTGAACTTTTTTTCTTCTTAAATCCTTCAGTTTTCTTTAAATCCACACTTTAGAGCCACAAACTCTGCTCCTTTCCTTCCTGCTCTGACTCCGCTCTTCCGCTGCTGTTCTGATCAGCAGCTCTGATTGGTCAAAGCGCGGCCGAGCCCCTCTGTGCACGTGCATGAAAGCCACACACGCGTATTTGGTGCAACGCATCATGGGAGATAATCCACTGCGCAGAACCGGGAGGACCAGACGGTGCCCAAATATAGGCGAGTTCTGCTAATCTCTCGGTCTCCATGAAGTCCCATGCGCTACTGAGCACAAGCCATTCATTTGAATAGGGCGCCATCTTGGTTCACCGGGGCTTGAGCTGGGACCATAATATCTGAATAGAGAAGAGTTTTTGCAGCGAGTTCTGGCAACCCGGATCACATTTATTAATGCCTTTTGACAGATTAGAGCTATTTAATGACGACTTGACATGAAAATGTTATATATTTCCACTTTAATTCTTGCTTCTTTATTAAGCTACAGTAAGAGATATTGTTCACTTAACTTTTGCTTTGTGCTTATCATTCTGCTGAAATTTCCCTACTCTGGAACCAAATCAAGGATTTCTTACCTTAGTCTTTGATATGACTGTCCTTCCACGTGGCTCCTGTTCTCCCATTTCTCTTTCCTTGTCTTGGGAGAACTGGGAAACTCTTGAGATTTCATTGTTTTTGGCAAAAATACTCAGCTACGTGCCTAGCTGAGTGGTTAGCACCCTCGTTTCTCAGCCATAAGGGTTCTGGGTTCAAAGCCCGGTTGACCCAGGGCCTTTCTGAGTGGAGTTTGCTTGTTCTCCTGAAGCAGCTCAGGTTTCCCTTACCACTAAAAACACATATGCAACCCCACGTTACACCCCCTCCCATCTGGGGCCAGGAGAAATTATTATACAGCAGTAGTCCAGTAGGGCAACAGTAGCTCAGTTGGTAGAGCATTGGCCTTTGAGCCAGAGGGTCATGGGTTTGAGCCCGACTTTGACCACCGACTCCCACTGTCTGCTGTCGTTGTGTCCTTGGCACGACACTTAACCTCTGGGACCACCATCCACAGTGGGGCGGCTGCGGCTGTAAAGTGCCAAACTGCGATTGTGTCCTTAGGCACTTTACCCCCATTGCCTAGAATGAGTCTGGTGTGTGTGTGAATGGTTGGTGGTGGGACATGATTTCCTCGCTTCTGTCAGTGTGCCCCAGGGCAGCTGTGGCTACAGTAGTAGTTTATCACCACTGTGTATGGAGTGAATGAATAATGACATGTAAAGCGTCTTTGAGTGTCCAAAAAAGCGCTATATAAAACCGATGCATAATTATTATTAGATAGATTTTATCCCATTGTGATTTTAATACATTTTATTTATATTGCGCCTTACATTCCCAGGAAACCTCAAAGTGCTATAAATACAACACCACAAACAAAGAAGTACATAAAATATCAAAAAGAAACGTGAAGGGCCTAATTTATTAAACCTATCTGTACTATTAAATCCCTCACCTCACGCATGTACACAATACAATCATGTCCCTTGTCAGTTTTTCTCTTTCCATATCTAAATATCTGCATGTTGTAGAGAAAGTGATTCTGTTTGGAGGTAAAATAAAACTGTTTGGGTGGAAATAGCACAAAAACAAAGTGTGGTTACAAAGAGAAGTTAAAATAGAGAAATGTCACCTCTCATTCAGTGAAAAAGAATTAATAACTAATGACTGGCATCTGTGCTAATAAGTAAATGAGCAAGTTGACTTCATAACACCCACTTTTAAAACGTGTGTCAGAAGAGTGCGAATTTTAAAAAAGATCAAACCTTTTGAGGAGCTCATTTGCAAGAAAAATAAAAAGTTGACAGAAAGAAACGGAAGCTTGAACAGAAGTGTTTGTGATGCCAGGGCCGAGGAAAACTGCACGGACCAGTTTTTGTTGTTGTTTTTGTGGTAAAATGCAATAATTAATATTGCTTTTGGTTGTAGATTATCACAAGTAAAGTAAACAATTAAAATGGGGGTAAAAAAACAAATAGAAAAAGGTCAGATGACTTTCTTAAAACAGCGGAACTGATGGCCTAACTCTTCATTGTGGCATTTCATTATAACAGGCAGCAGGAGACTGTGTGTGTGTGTGTGTGTGTGTGTGTGTGTCTTTGTGTGTGTGTGTGTGTGTGTGTGTGTGTGTGTGTGTGTGTGGTGCGTGTGCGTGTGCGTGTGCGTGTGTGTGTGCGTGTGTGTGAGTCAAAAGCAGTGGGCAGGGATTATAAAGCAAGACAATGAAGCATTACTGGATTATGAGCCCAAACCAGATCTGGGTGTTTTTACTATAATACAAAAATATAGAAACATATATTTACAAAGACAAAAAACAAAAATTGGGTCTTGAATAAAACTGAAAAACAACAATAAACACAGATGGACAGATCGGTGAAAGAGAAGACAGCATGAACAAAGCTGGATCTCAACAGGTGGAGCACGTGTACTACGGTCAGCACTAGATCATATACAGAATCGGGACGGAAGCAGAAGTAAACTTATAAGTCTAAAACTAATTTGAAAGTTGGATTGTTACTTCCGCTTCCGTCCCGATTCCATATATGATCTAGTGCCGACCCGTGCACCATGGCCGCCAGCTTGGATATTCGACCATACAGACACGTTGGATGTTTAGGTGTACATTCTGGAGAGTGCACTGTTCTGGATCTGTCCAGATCCTGCTGAGAAGACTGAGGGATGGAGTGGGACTGTCAGGGTCAGTGCTTCAATGGTTTTCTTCATACTTATCTGGACGCAGTTTTAGTGTCACAGCAAACCAGGGATGTTCTGAGTCAGCAGATTTGTTGTGTGGTGTCCCCTAAGCTTCTGTGTTGGGTCCGCTGCTATTCCTGTTGTATTTGACCCCCTTGGGAAAGATTGTCCAGAGATTTCCTGGCATCTCGTTCCACATTTTTGCTGATGATATCCAGCTATACTGCTCTGCCTACCGAGCTCCAGAGGCTTAAGTGTTTTGTTGTGGTTGGGGTGGGGGGGTTGGTGGGGGGGTTGGGGGGTGTGGGGGGTTTGTTGGGGGTTGGTGTGGTTGTGTGGTGTGGTGTGGGGTGGTTGATTGATTGGTGTTTGTTTTTTTTTGTTGGGTGGGTTGTGTGGGGTGTGTGGTGGTGTGTGGGTGTTGGGGTTTGTGTTTGTGTGGGTTAGGGTGGTGTGGGGTGGGGGTGGGGTGGTTGGATGGTTGGGTGTGGGGTTGGGTGGTGGGGGGTGTGGTTGGTTTTGGAGTTGTGGGGGGGTTGTTTTGGTGGGTGGGTGGGGGGTTGTGGGGGGGGATGGGGGTGGGTGGTGGTTGTGTGGTTGGTGTGGGTGAGTGTGTGGGTTGTGGTGTGTTGTTTGTTGTGGGGGGGGGGAGTGGGTGATTGGGGTGTGTGAGTTGTGTGTGTGGTTGGTGTTGGGTGGGGTGGGGGTTTGGTGGGGTGTTGTGTGGGGGTGGGTGGGTGGTGTGGGGGTGGTGGTTGTGGTTGGGGTGGGGGTTGTGGTTTGGTTTGGGTGGGGTTTGGGGGGTGGGGTGGGTGTTGTGGTAGGTTGTTGTTGGGGGTGTAGGGGTGGTTGGGGTAGGGGTGTGGATAGGGTGTAGATATTTGGGGGGTGGTATGTTGTGGTGGGGGGGGGTTGGTGGGGTTTATATTTGATGTGTGTATGTTTGGGACAATGGTAGATATGTGGTAGGGATGGTGTGGTTTTGGTGATTGGTGGGGATCTGTAGTTATATGGTGTAGGTGTTGGGGTGTTTTGGTAGTTGTGTGGTGTGTTGGGTGGTGGTGTTGTTTGTTGTGGGGAGTTTGGTGGGGGTGGGGGTGTTGGGTGTTGGGGGGGGGATTGTTGGGTGGGGGGGGTTTGTTTTTTGGGTGTGTTTTGTGGGGGGGTGTGGTGGGGTGTTGGGGTGGGTGGTTGTTGGTGGGGTGGGGGGGGTGTGGTGTTTGTTTTGTTTGTTTTGGTTTGTTGTGTGGGGGTTTGGGTTGGTGGTGTGTAAGAGGTTGTGTGGTGGTGTGTTGGGGGGGGGGGGGGTTTTGGGGGTGGTGGGTTGTTGGTTTTGGTGTGTAGGTTTGGTTTGGGGGGGGGTGTGGTGGGGTTTGGGGTTTTTGGGGGTGGTGTTAGTTGTGGGGTTGTTGTTTGGGTTGGGTGGTGGGGTTGTGTTGGGTGGTGGGTTTGGTGGTGTGTGTGGTGGTGGGGGGTGGTGGGGGTTTTGTGGTTGTTGGGTGGGTGTGGTGGGGGGTTGTGGGTGTGGTGGGGTTTGTGTGGTTTGGGGTTGTGGGGGGGGGTTGGTGGGGGGTGTTTTTTGTGGGGTGGGGGGGGGGGGGGGGGGGGGGGTGTTGGTGGGGGGTGGGTTGTGTTGGGTTTGTGGGGGGGTTGGGTGTGGGGGGGGGGGGGGTGGGGGGTTGGGGTGTGGGGGTGGTTGGGTGGTTGTTGTGGGTGGGTGGGTGGGTGGTGGGTGGTTGGTGTGGTTTGTGTGGGGTGGGGGTTTGTTATTTTGTTTGTGGGGGGGTTGGTGGGTGGGGGGGGTGTGTGGGGGGGGGGAGTGTGTGGGGTTTGTGGTGTGGGGTGGGGGTGTGGGGGTGGTTGGGTGTGGGGGGGGGGGGGGGGGGGGGGGGTGGGGTAGTTGGTGTGGGTGGTTGGGTGTGTGGTTGGGGGGGGGTGGGGGGGGGGTGGGGGGTTGTGTTTGTGGGGTTGGGGGGTTGTTGGGGTGGGGGGTGGGGGGTGGGTGTTTGTGGTGTTGGGGGGGGTTGGGGGGGGGGGGGGGGTGTGTGTGGGTGGGTGGGGGTGTTGTGTTTTGGGTGTTTAGTGTGTGGGTGTGGGGGGTGTGTTTGGTTGGGGTTTGGGTTTTTTTGTGTGTTGGGGGGGTTGTGTTTTTTTTTTGTTGGGTGGGGGGTTTGGTTGTGGTTTGTTTTTGTTTGGGGGGTTGGTTGGGTTTGTGGTGGGTGTTTTGGTGTGTGGGTTTGGTGGTGGGGTTTGTGGGGGGTGGTGTGTGTGGTGGGTGGGGTGTTTGTGGTTGTTTATGTTTTGGGGTGTGGTTTTTGTGTTTTGGTGGGGGGTGTGTGTTTGTTATTTGGGTGTGGTTGGGGGGGGTGGTGGGGGGGGGGGGTTGGGGGGGGTTGGGGGGTGGGGGGTGGGGGTGGGGGTTGGTTGGGGTGTTGTTGGGTTGTTGGGGTGTGTGGGGGGGTGATGGGATGTTGGGTGGGGGGGGGGTGTGGTTGGGGGGTGGTTGGGGGGGTGGTTGTGGTGTGTGGGTGGATGGGGGGGTTGTGTTGTTTGGTTGGTGGTTGTGTTGTGGGTTATGTTTGAGTTTGTGTGGTTGGTGTTGTTGTGGTTGGGTGGTGTTGTAGAAAGTGGTTGTTGTTGTTGTGTTGTGTTGTTGTTTGTTTTGTTGGGTGGTGGTGTGGTTGTGTTTTTTGGGTTGGTGTTTTAGTTGTTGGTGGATTTGTGGTGGGTGGTGTTGTTAGTAGTGTGGTGTAGTTGTTGGGTGGTGGTTTGGTAGTGGTTTTGTGGTTGGTGTGTGGATTGGTTGTGGTTTTGATGGGGTAGTGTGGTATTAGTGTTAGGTGTTTTATGTTATGGTAGGTGGATAAGTTGTTGGTGTTTAAGAGGATTGTGATTTTTGTGGGTATAGTTGTTAGTGTTGGGGGGGGGGTGGGTTGGTTTGGGGGGGTGGGGGTGGTGTGGAGGGGGTTTGGTGGGGTGGGGTGTGTGTTGTGGGGGGGGGTGGGGTGGGTGGTGGGGTGGGTTTGGGGGTTTTAGGTTGTGTTGGGTTGGGTGTTTGGGGGTAATGGAGGGAGGTTTATTAGTAGTTGGGTTGTTGTGTTGGGTGGTGTTGTGTGTTGGTTGAGTTTGTTTGGTTTGTTGTTGGGGGTAGGGTGGGTTTTTTTTGTTTTTGGGGTGTGGAGAGTGTGAGGGTGTGTGGTAGTGTGTGTGTGTGTGTGTGATTGGGTATGGGTGTGTTTGGAAGTGTGTGTGTGTGTGGTGTGTGTGTGGTGTTGTGGTGAGTGTGTGGTGTGTGTGTGTTTGTTGGGTGTGTGTGTGTGGGTGTGGTATGTGTGGTTGTGTTTGGTGTGGTTTGTTGTTGTGTGTGTGTGGTTGTGTGTGGTTTGAGGTTGTGTGTGTGTGTGTGTGGTGTTGTTGGTGTTTTGTGGAGTGTGTGGTGTGTGGGTGTGTGTTGGTGTGTGTGGGTGTGTGTGGTTGTGAGGTGTGTGTGGGTGTGTGTGTGTGTTGTGGTGTTGTTGTTGTGTGATGGTGTGTGTGGTTGGTGTGTGTGTGTGGTTGTGTGGTTTGGTTGGGTGTTGTTGTTTGTGGTTGTGGATGGTGGGGGGGGTGTGTGGGTAGTGTGGGTTTTGGTGGGGGGGGGGGGTAGGGGTTGTTAGGGGATTTGTTTGTTTTTGGGTTTGGGTTGGGGTGTTGGGGGGTTTTGGTTGGTGGGGGTTTGGGTGGGGTGGGTGTGGGTGGGGTTGGGTGGTTGGTTGGGGGGTTGGGGGGGGGGGAGGTGGAGGGGGTGGTGTGTGGGGTGGGTGGTTTGTGTGGGGTGGTGTGGTGTTGGGGGTTGTTTGGGTGGGGGGAGTGGGTGGTGGGGGGTGGGGTTTGTGGGGGGTTGGGGGGGGTTGTGGGGGGGGTGTGGGGGGTGTGTGGGTTGGTGTGTTTAGTGGTGTGTGTTTGTTGTGTTAGTGTTAGTATTAGTTTATATATTATAAGTATTAATATATATATGATATATATATATATATGATAGATATGATATTTGTTTAGGGGGGTGTGAAAGGATATAGGGTATATGATTGTAATGTTGTTATGTTAGGGGGGTAGTTGGTTGGGTTGGTATTGATGATTGGGGGTATTGGTATTTGTGGGGTTGTTGGGGTGGGGTGTGGGGGGGGTATGGGTGGTTGGGGTGGGGTTGGTTTGGGGTGTTGATTTGGTTTGGGTGGTGGGGATTGAGTGGTGATGGTGATATAATAATAAGAAGAATGAAATGTTAGGAAATGATGGGAATGAGGTGTTTGGGGGATGGAGGAGAATATTAAGGAATAAATTGGATGGTAATGGGGGGAGAGTTAGGGGAGTTTGTGTTTTTTTGTGGTATTGTGTATAGAAATGGGTGGGGGATTAATTATAAAGGTTGAAAAATAAGGTATAGGTTATTTTATTGAATAGGAATGGGATTGTTGGTTGGGGGTGGAGAATTGGGTTGGTGGGGTGGTTAAAGGGGGTGGGTAGAGTAGTAAATGGTATATGGTTTTTTTTTGTATTGAAAGGTGTTTTTTTATGTTTGTGGGTTGTTGTGAGATTTGGTAAGGTAGAATTTTGGGGTGTGGGGTGTGTAGTGGGGGGGATTGTGGGTGTATTGTTTGTTGTTTTTTGGAGTGGGGTTTTGTTGGGTTTTGTGTGATGGTGGGTGGATTGGTGAGGGGGATGGATATTTGGGGGGGGGGGTGGGGTTGGGTTGTGTGGGTGTGGGTGGGGGGGGGTGTTGGGTTGGGTGGGGTGGGTGGGGGGGGGGGTGGTGTTGTGTTTGTTTTGGTGTGGTAGTGTGGTGGTTTTGGGGGGTGGTTTTTGTTGGGTGGGGGGGTGGTGTTATTATGAGGGGGGAGTAGAATAGATGTTTGTTGGTTTGTATGGAGTTGTTGGATTTGAGGATTTAGTGGGGTTTGGGGGGGTTGTGTGGTTGGGGTGTTTGTGATGGGGTGTGGGGTTTGATTGGTTGGATGGTGGTTTTGTGGAGGATGGGGGTTTTGGGTGGTTGTGGTGTTTGTGTTGGTTTGTGTGGGGGGGGTGGTTGTGTTGGGTTTATTGGTGTTGGGGGGTTGTGTGGGGTGGTGTTTGGGGGGGGGTTTGGGTGGTGTTTGGTAGTTGGGGGTTGTGGTGTGGGTGTTTGTGGGGTTGTGGGTTGGGTTTGTGGGTGTGGGTGTGTTGTTTTTTTGTTGAGGGTGTTTGGGTTTTGGGTGGTGGGGTGGGTGTGTGGTGTTTTGGTTTGGGGGGTGTGTGGGTGGTTGGTTGGGTGGTGTGATGTGGGGGGGGGGGTTTTTGGGTGGTGGGGGGGGTGTTGTTGGGTTTTTTTGTGGTAGGTTGTGTGTGTGTTGGGGTGTGTTGTGTTGTTGTTGTGGTGGGGTGGGGGGGGTTGGGGTGGGTGTGGTTGTGGTGGGGGGTGGTGTTGTGTGGGGTGTTTGTTGGTTGGTTTGTTTGTGTTTGGGTTGTGGGGTTGGGGGTGGTGGGTTGTTTTGTGTGTTGGGGTGGTGGGGGGGGGTTTGTTGTGGTGATGTGGGGGGTGTGGGTGTGGGTGGTGTGTATGTGGTTTGTTTGTTGGGTGAGTGTTGTTGTGTTTTGTGGTTGGTTTTGGTTTGTTTGGGGGGGGGTGTGGGGGGGAGGGTTTGGGGGGGTTGGTGTGGGTGGGGGTGGGTGTGGGGGTGTGGGGTTGGGGGGTGGGTGGGGGGGGTTGTTGGTTTTTTGGTGTTGGGGTGGGGTTGGAGGAGTTGGTTTTGGGTAATTGGTTGGGGTTGTAGGGTGTGGGGGGTGGATTGGGGGGGGTGGGGGGGGTTGTGGGGGTGTTGTGGGGGGTGGGGTGTTGTGTGTTGGTTTGTGGTTGTTTTTGTTGGGGGGGTTTATTTTTTTGTTTGTGGTGGGTGGTGTTTGGTTTGGGTTGGGTTGGGTGGATTGTTTGTGATTTGTTGATGTTTGTGGGTGTTGTTGGTGTGGGTGTATGGTGTGTGGGGTGGTGGGTGGGGTGGGTGGTAGTTGGGTTGTGTTTGGATGTTGTTGTGTTGGTGGTTGGTGTTATTGTGTGGTATTAAGGTGTTGGGGGTGGTTGTTGTTGGTTGGTTGTGGGGGGTTGTTTTGTGTTGTGGGTTTGGTGGGTGTGGGGTGGGGGGGTTGGGGTGGGGGGGTTTTGGTTATTTGGGTGGGGGGGGGTATGGGAGGGGTGGTGGGTTGTGTTTGTGTTTTGGGGTTTGGATGTGTTGTTTAGTGTTTGGGTGATGTTGTTTTGGTGTGGTTTGGTGGGTGGTTTGTGTTGTTGTGTGGGTATTTTTGGGGGGTGTGGGTTGGGGGGGTTGTTAGATAGGGTTTTTGGGGTGTGTGGGTTGGTGGGTTGGGTGTGGTGGGTGTGGGGGTTTTGGTGTGTGTTTGTTTTGTTTTGGTTGTTGTGGTGGTTGTGATTGGGTTGTTGTTTGTGGGGTGGGGGTGGGTGGGTGGGTGTGTTGGGTGTGGTGGGGTGGGGGGGGGGGTGGGGTGGGGGGGGGTGGGGGTGGGGGGGGTGGGGGTTTTGGTGGTGGGGGGTGGTTGTTTGGGTGTTTTGGGGGGTGGGGTGGGTTTGTGGGTGGGGGTGTTGGTGGGGTTGGGGGGGTGGGGGGTGTGTTTGGGGGTGGGGGGGTTTGTGGGGTGGTGTGGGGGTGGTTGGTGGGTTTGTTTGGGGGGGGGGGGGGGGGGTTTTTGTGGTTGGGTTTTGGGGGTGTGGTGGTTGGGGTTTTTTTTGTGGGGGGAGTGGGGTGGTGTTTGGTTTTGTTGAGTGGGGGTGGGGGGGTGGTGTGGGGTTTTTTTTTGTTGGGTTGTGTGTTTTGGGTTGGGGTTGGTTGGTGGGGGGGGTGGTATGGGGGGTTGGTTGTGGTTGGATGTTTGGGTTGTGGATTATTTGTTGTTGTTGTTGGTTTTAATTTGTTGGTGATTTTGTGGTGTGTGTGTGGGGTGGGTGATTGTGGGTTGGGGGGGGTTGTTGTGATTGGGGTGGTTGGGGTTTTATTTGTGAGGTTTTTTGTTGGGTTTTGGGGGGGGGGGGTGGGGGGAGGGGTGTTGGGTGTAGGGGTATGGGTGGGTGGGGTGTTGGGGGTTTTGGTATTTGTGTGTTTTGTGTTTGTGGGGTTGTTGGGTGTTGGTGTGATGAGGGTTGTTTGGTGGGTGGTTGGGGTTGGTGGTGTGGGTTTTTGGGTTGTTTGGGTGGTGGTTATGGTGTTAGGGGGTTTGGGGGGTTTGGGGTTTTGTTGGTTTTGTTGTGTTATTTGGGGGTGGGGGGTTGGGGGGTTTTTTTGTTTGGGTGGTTGGGGTTTGTGGGTGTAGGGGTTTGGGGTGGGGTGGGGGATGTTGTTTGGGGTGGTTGGGTTGTGTGGGTTGTTTTTGGGGGTTGGGGGGTTGTGGGTTTTGGGGGGTTGTGTGGTTTGTGGGTGGGGTTGTGGTATGGTGTGTGTGGTGGTTTTTGGTTTGGTTGGTTGTGTTGTGGTGGTTTTGGGTTGGTGAGTGTGGTGGGATTTTGGTTGGTGGGGGTTTTTTTTGTGTGTTGTTGTTGGGTGGTGTGTGTGGTTGGGTGGGGGGTGGGGGGGGTTTGTGGTGGTGTGGTGTGGTGTTGGGGTGGTGGGGGTGTGGTGGGGGGTGTGTGGTATGGGTGGGGGGGGGTGTGTGGTTGGTGTTTTGTGTGGGGTTTGTGGTGGTTTGGTGGTGGTTTGTTGGTGGGTTTGTGGTGGGGTTGTTGGTGGGTTTGGTGTGGGGGTTTTGGTGGTGTGTTTGTGTGGGTTGGGTGGTGGTTGGTGGTGGGTTTGGTGGTGGGTTTTGTGGTGGGTTTGGTTGGTTGTGGTGGGTTGGTGGTGGGGTTTTGTGGGTGGGGTTGGTGTGGTTTGTGGTGGTTTGGTGGTGGTTTGGTGGTGGGTTGGGGGGGTGTGTTGTTGGGTGGTTTGTGGTGGGGGGGGTGGGGGGGGTGGGGGGGGGTGGTGGGGGGTGGTGGGGTGGGGGTGGGGGGTGGGTGTTTGGGGTGTTGGGGTGGGGGGTGGGGGGGGGTTGGTGGGGGGGTGTGGGGTTGGGTGGGTTGTGGGGGGGGTGGGGTGGTGGTGTGGGGGGTGTGTGGGGGGTGGGGTTGTTGGGGGGTTGTTTTGGTGTTGGGTTGTTTTTTGGGTTTGGGGTGGGGGTTGTGGGTGGGGGGGGGGGGTGGGGGTGGTTTGTGGTTGGGGGGGGGGTGGGTTTTGGGTGTTGTTGTGGGTTGTGGGGTGTTGGTTGGGGGTTGGGTGGGGTTGTGGGGGGGGTGTTGGTGGGAGTGGTGGGGGTGTGGGGGGTGGGGGTTGGTTTTGGGGGGGGGTTTGTGGGGGGGGTTTGGGGGGGGGTTGGGGTGGTTTGGTTGGGGTTTTTGGGGGGAGGGGGGGGGGGGGGGGGTGTTTGGGGGTGGGTGTGTGGGGGGGTTTGGGTTGGGGTGGTTGGGTGGGGGGGTGGGGGGTGGGGTGTGGGGTGGGTGTGGTGGTTGGGGTTGGTGGGTTGTGGGTGGGGGTGGGTTGTGTGGGGTGTGTGTGGGTGTGGGGTTTGGTGGGTGGTTGGGGTGTGTTAGGGTTGGTTATAAGGGTTTGTGGTTGATGGGGAGTGTTTTGGATTGTTTTATTGGTTTTGTGGGGTGTGGTATTGAATGTTGTGTATGGTAGGATTAGGTTGTTATGGGTGGGAGGGAGGATGGGAGGAGAAATGGATATTATATTAAAGGTGTGTTGTGTTGTTGGTATTGAAGGAGTTGGGGTTGAGAAATAGGGTTGGAGTATATGGGATAGGAATTTATGTTTGTGTGTTTTGGGGGTGGGGGGGGATTGGGATTAGATTGTTATTGAGTTGTTGGTTGGGGGGGGGGGGGGTTTGGGGGGGTTGAGTATTTTTGGATGTTGTGGGAGGATGGTGGGGGGGGGGAGAATTTGGGTTGGTTGGTATTGAGAGTTTGGTGGTTGTTGTGGGGGGGGGTGTGGTTTTGGGGGGGGGTTGTGGGGAGTGGGTGGGGGGGTTTAGGGGGGTTTGTGTTGTTTGTGTTGTGTGGGTGGATGTGGTGGGGGTGTTTTTGGTTTGGGTTTTGGGTTTGAATGGGTTGTTTTGGTGGGAGGGGGGTGGGTTTGGGGGATGGTTGTGGGTTTTTTTGGGTATTTGATGTTAGGGGTTTAGTGGTGTGTTTGGGGTTTGGGTGTTTTTGTGGTTGGGTTGTAGGTAATTTGGGGGATAAATTTGGGATGAATGTAGTTTTTTTTGTTATGTGAGTATTGGGTGAATTGTGATTAGTGTGGTTGTTGGTTGGGTTTGGGGGGGGGAGGGTGGTAGGGGGGGGGTAGGGGTTGATGTTTGGTGAGGGGTTGGTTGTTGGGGGGGGGGGGGGGGGGGGGTATGGTGGTATGTAGTTGGTTTTTTTGGGGGGGGTGTATTGTGGTGGTGTAGGTGGTATTTGGGGGGGTGGTGTGTGGTGAGGGTGGTGGTTTTGTGGTTGGGGTTGGGGTGGTTTGTGGGGGTTGGTTGGTTGGTTGTGTTTGTGTGGGGTTTGGGTGTTTGGGGTGTGTTTGTGGTTGGTGTGTGGTGTGTTGGGGGGGGGTGGGGGGGGTTTTGTGGGGGGGGTTGGGTGGTTGTTGGTTGGGTGGGGGTGGTGGGTTTGGTGTTGGGGGGGGTGGGGGGTGGGGGGGGGTTGTGTTTTGTTTTTTTATTGTGTGTTTTTTGTGGTTGGTGTTGGGTATTTGGGTTTTAGGATGTTGGGGTTGTGGGGTTGTTGGGTGGGGGGGTGTGTTGTGGTGTGATGTAATAGGATTTGATTAATTTTAAAGAAGGATGAAAGTAATTTAGGGATGAGATTTATTGGGTGTTTAGGGTGGATTTGATGAATTGTGAAATGTTATAGAGTGTAGGGGATTGTTAGTATAGGTGGTTGAAGGAATGATTATTAATTGATGAGGATAGAATTTGAGGGGAAGGTTGGGTTTGGATTTTGTGTAAGGGGAGATGGGGAATGTTTTTTGAGGGGGTTTGGGGGAATATTGAATAGGTGTAAATAATTTATGGTTGTTGGAGAAGGATTGTTTTAATTTGATTTATGGGGGAATATTGGATTTTAGTTGGGGGGGTTTTATATAGAGATGTTAAAGGTTAATAAGGTAAAAAATTAGATAGGGTGGTGAGGGATGGGGATGATTGTGTGATGGTTGTGGTGTGGTGTGGTGGTGGTGTTGGGGGGGGGTGTGGGGGGTTTTGGGGGTGGGATGGAGTGGTGTGTTGGGGTTTGTGTTAGTTTTGTTTGGTTGGGGGTGTTTTTGGGGGGGGATGTGGTTTGGGGGTGTGTTGTTGTTGTGTGTTGTTGGGTTGGTGGTGGGTGTGTGGTTGGGGGTGGTTTTGGGGTGTGTGGGGTGGTGGGGGGGGTGGTGGTGGTTATTGTTGATGTTGGGGTGTTGATTTGTTGGGTGGTAGGTTGGGTGAGTGTGTGTTTTTTTGGTGTTGGGGGGGGTGTTAGGTTGTGTGTATTTTGTGGATTGTAGTAAATAGGGGTTGGGGGGTGGGGGGGTTGTGGTGGTGTTGTGAATTTGTTGGGATGGTTTTGTGTTGGGGGAAATTGGGGGGGGTTGTGATTTTTGGGGTTTGGGGTGTGTGGGTGGGGGGTTGTAAGTTTGGATTTGGTTGTTGTTGGGTATGTGGATAGGGGGGGGGGGGGTATGTGGAGTGGGGTGGTGTGTGAGAGTGGGTGGGATAGTGGTAGGGGATAATAATTATTTTTTGGGTTTTTGTTGTGGGGTGTGTGTTGTGTGGTGGGGATGAGAGTGGGGGTTGGGAGTATTTGTGTTTGTGTTGGTGGTGTGGGGGTGGTTTGTGTTGTGGTGGGGGGGGTTGTTGGTGGGGTTGTGTGTTTAGTGGGGTTTTTTGGAGGGTGTGGTGGGGTGTTGGGGGGGTGGGTTGTTGAGTGTGGGTGTGGT